TTTATCCTTGTTATCCTTCGGGATGAACTTTCCCAACATTGCGAACAGGGAGCAATCGTTTAATACACCGTTATTTACATTGACAACATTGTTCGTGCGAAACGGAAGCTTAACGTACGTTCCTCCTCGATGTAACGCGTAATAGCGGTTGACACGTAGCTCCATACCTTGTATCTTCTTCAGCACCCACCCGGATCCGTTCATGTGAAAATCGAATGACCGAATGACTCATCATTGATCTTGACCCTGAACTTTTCATAATACTCGTCCAGATCCGTTGACGCGAAAATAGCTTCGTTTTGGTCTTAAACTTTTTCAACTGCATTCCTTCCTTATCTTTAATCATCCTTTTACCTTCAATTAAATTATTAATTTAATTTAATTTTTATTCAATTTAATTAAAAATTAACCTTCAATGCCTCGCCAGTGAGTTCTTCTTTAATTTTTCCAATCACGAGGTCTTTCGCTGTTAGTAGGTAGTCATCGATGATAAGAATCTGCGGTTGGAGGTTTGTGATGAAAAGTGTTTTCAACCTGCTTTGACAAGCAGTCTCGACTTGAACTATCGGTACTTTCGTCTCAAACAAATTTCTTATGTGACTTGCAGATTCTTCATGTTTTTCTCTTTTATCGTATGATATTTTGCACGTGTCACAATATTCTTGATTCTCATCGTTGTTGTCATCGGTGGGTGATGAGGTGTCCTTCATGGTGAGCATCTTTTCAATGTGTTCGGGAGATTGCTCATGATTCCCTCCCTCCGTATAAAACTCATCACAAAGATCACAATGGATGAGCGCGTTGGGCTCCTTTTTAATGTGCGTTTCATCGTTGATACCCTCCTAGTAGGGTGAAAATGGCGACTTTACCACAGTAAATTATCCAACAGCGTTGCATGATTGTGCAGAAAAATATGAATTAAATTACAGCGTTGTATAGGGATTATTGTTCAATATGGCAACGCTGTAAAAAGAAAGTATTGCATGTTGCCCCTTCAATATGCGGGTTATGCAATCGTGTAATAATGCCCCTTCATTTTTC